ATGAACAACAAATTTCGAGAAAGTCTAGGTGCTCAAGCTTTTGAATATAACGGAATCTATATATCTCATTTACCTGAGAATCAATCAGTGTTTTTATTCAAAGTTCTGACTTGAGTTACATTTTTGGTTGTGATTTAGAGCAAAATCAAACAAGGGTTGTAATGAAAGGAAAAGGTCAACATTATCCTCAGTATTCTTACGATATTCTTAATACATAATAATACGTTCTTTTATGATATATAGTGATATTATATAGAATATAATATAGTCGGTGATACAAAAACTCCCTTTTTGCGTTGTATTCCATTCATCTCCAAATTAAAAATTGGAAATATTATTTCTACAGGGCAGTACAAGAATTACCATTCTTTTACAAATTTACAATTTAAGAAATTGTTGAAAAATTCTTTCCAATGTTTCAAGATAGAACTAAGAGATAGGACAGGCAAAAAAAATTCCTTTTGTGTCCGTAGGAATTACCCGAGTTAATCTCTTGTTCCGCAAGGTTTCGAATAATCATTTTTGATTTAAACTTCATACGAAATGGTGCTCAAAACTCAGCAGCTTTCCCTATTTTTCGAGGACATGCAAGACAACGTGGAAGAGGTCTTGGAGCTCTCGCACAAACTCTTGGGAGAACTGCAATCCCCTTTATCAAAAAAAATACAGTCTCAGCTGCGAGAAGAATTCGGGCAGATTTGTTTGAAATCGCTGCTCCAGAGATTGGGGAAGTTGTTAGTGGACCTGAAAAACTCAGATTAATTGCAAAAGATGTGGGAACAAAAACAGTTCGGAAACACTTTGGAGGTGGAAAAAAGAAATACAAGAGTAGAAATGGTAGAACCAGATCCTTTTCTCAAAAAAATAGATCGAAAAACAGTCGCTCTCGCAAAGACTTTGTTGACAAAATAAAATGAGTGTACTCCAAATTCATTTTCGGTACGGGGCTTTTACAAATTCTTCATAAGAGATTTTTGATAAAGACCCAGTTTTGGAAACAATTATGTCATCTTACACACAAGAAGTATTCCCCAACACTTCTCTGGATGAAAGCAGTATTGAGTTTGAATTTGAAAAGGATCGTAATCTCTAATTGGATATGCGTGATACCCATCTTAGTTTAAAGCTTCAACTATTCAAGGGAATATTATTTGATGCTTTCAAAAAAGAAAAAGCAGAACATAAAGCAAAGTCTGAGGATGACTCAGATGAGGAACCACAAACTTATCTAACTTATGTAAACAATCTATTACATTCAGTGAGGTTTATTTTAACAATACAATGGTTTGAAACGCCAACGGATTATATCCTCATAAGGCACAAATATCGAACGAATTCAAATTGTCAGCAGTGAAAAATAAAGGAATACTTGCTTGTCATGGATACAGTTTTGACGAATATCCTGATGCATTTGATATGCATCTATTCACTGATAGAGCAAATTCCTTGGGACCAGGGATAACTTTTTCACTTTGTGGGAGGCTTGCCATTGATTTATTTACTTGCGAAAAATGTTGCTTGCGAAAAATTTACTTACTTGCGAAAAATTGTTGCAAATACCAAAGTTTGAATTAAACTAATTCGAACTAGACTAATTTTCACATGTTATTTGATATTCCAAATGTCAGTCTGAAAATTGTTGATTGTTTTCTGTTTAGTAGAAGAGTTTTAGTTGCTGAACTTAATCATCATTTCTTGCAATGAAATCTGGAAATGGAACCTGCTCATTACAATTACATGGAAATTATAGCAAGAACCTTTATCATTCCATCTCCTCAAAACCAGTTTATTCAGGAAAATGTTTTCAATAATGCCCCAATCAGAAGGATAGCTGTTGCAATGAATACAAGCTCGGCTGTTGCGGGATCCTTTCATAAAATTCCTTTAAATTATCATAAATTTCATTTGAGGGAGCTTAGAATTATTACCACAAAGTCTGAGGATGACTCGGATGAGGAACCACAAACTTATCTAACTTATGTAAACAATCTATTACACTCAGTATTCTCCAATTGTGAGGTTTATTTTAACAATACAATGGTTCGAAACGCCAACGGACTATATCCTCATAATGCACAAATATCGAACGAATTCAACTCGTCAGCAGTGAGTAAAAAAGGAATACTTGCCTGTCATGGATTCAGTTTTGAAAAACATCCAGATGCATTTGATATACATCTATTCACTGATAGAGCAAATTCCTTGGGACCAGGGATAACTTTTTCTCTTTATGGGAGGCTTTCCCTTGATTTGTTTACTTGCGAAAAATTGTTGCTACCAAATACCAAAGTTTGAATTAAACTAATTCGAGCTAGAATAATTTTTACATGTTATCTGATATTCCAAATGTCAGTCTGAAAATTGTTGATTGTTTTCTGTTTAGTAGAAGAACTTTAGTTGCTGAACATAGTCATCATTACTTGCAATGGAATCTGGAAAGGGATTTTGCTCATTACAATTACATGGAAATTATAGCAAGAACCTTTATCATTCTATCTCGTCAAAACGAGTTCATTCAGGAAAATGTTTTCAATCATGCCCGAAACAGAAGGATAGCTGTTGCAATGAATACAAAATCGGCTGTTGCGGGATCTTTTCATGAAAATCCTTTCAATTATCAACAATTTCATTTGTGAGAGCTTTGAATTATTTGGCAGGGAAGAGCAATTATTTCATTAGATACAACTTCTCAGTGTCGTCCTTATGTTATAACAAGGAAAGCAATGCAGTTGAACGAAGATTTTCCAGCTCTTCCTCTGGAAGATTTTCAAAATCACTTTATTCTAGTTTTCGACATGACTTCATTACATGGTGCAGCTGAACAGTTGCGTTATCCAGAACTTAGTGGAGAATGCTTGAGATTAGAAATGTTTTTCCAATTTCCCTTGGAGCAAATAACGGAAGTGATAGTCTTGGGAGAAAGATTTTCAAATATTGAAAGTGACAATTTCGGAACAGTCGCTAAAAATGTTTAATTTTTTTGAGTTTTCAGGTTTCTTTAAAAATATGTAACTTTTTTGGGACTTTTCTTTGTTATTATCTCTGTACTATCTATTTTGTTTTTCTTCAGACCTAAAGCTCCAGAAAAAATAGAGAAAGATAGAGACACTTCTTCATTCTTCAAACTAGACTGTAAGACAGTGTTCAATAAACTTTGCTCACTACATAAGGCTTGTGTATGGGACTTTGTTGGTTCAGTTCCTAAATGTGTGTAAGTCATTATTGTTTCTTTTTTTTATCCTAAAGTACACTATCAAACTATTGATTTCTTTTTCAGCTGTAGATCAGCCTACAATTGCAAAGATGGATAATTTTTCACTTCTGCAATTTATTGAAAGAATTCCTGAACTCAGGTTCAAGTACATGGGATCTTACCCCTCTGATGAAGTACCTCGACTACAAAATACTCTTTTGCAATTGTTACCTCAGCTCCAAGCAATGATAGAGGGGAACACTGGATCATGATAGCTCGATTGGACAAAACTTACCACTTTGCTGATTCTTTCGGTCAAAAAAGAACAACTTATTCCTTCCTAACAAAAGAGGTATTGGCGAATGGTCCCCAGAAAATTACAAAAAACTGATAATTTGTGTGGATATTACGCAATTTTTTCAGCAGTTCTTCTTTTCAAACTCTACCAGAGAAACTTGAATAATAATCATGATGGGCATATTTTGAATTTTATAAATAAATTTATGTAAATGTGCAGTTTTTTATTTGTAAGTGTAAATTGTGGTAATAAATTTTTCATACGATGCAGAGATTTATATATTTTCTTTGTAATTTAATTTTTTTTCTCTCGAAAAATTGACCTTTTTTGAAGTTTCAGTAGGTTTCAGCCTTGTTTCAAGTAGATGTTTCAAAAAGTAGGAATATCTAATAAATTAGGTGGTAGGTCGAATTATAACAAACTTTATCGTGTTTTTAAGTTTATTTGAAAATTTTTTCATAAAAATTCCAAATTTTTGCCAAAAAAAAACTTATCATTGACTTACCATTTTCCGTTAAACTAATTGAAAATCCTTCATTGCACCAATCTACTCATAATTAATCAGTGATATTTATCAGTTAGATAACGCGCGCAGAGATTTTTGCGAAAAAACTAGAAATTTTCACACAAAATCCAAAAAAATTCGTTTTTCTTACACTTATCTTACCATCACACAAACCATAAAACCTTACCATTGGTATTCCCTATCTTAATACATTGTAGACTCTATACCCGATCTTGATACATAGCTGGCTGACCGGATGATCTATTCCCTATCTTAATACATGGGAATCAGCTACCTCCCCCCCCCCACCACTTTAGCCTCAACATCTACTACTAACACCATGTTTTGACAAAGTTTTCTGCTTCACAGTCAAATTTTTGACAAAACAGGCCAAAAAAGGCGTTTTAAGGCACTTTTTGGAAAAATTTGATCAAAGAAATTGCGCTTTTTGGCGCGCTCGCCCCTCAAAGTTAGAATGATTTAGCGCCAAAAGCGCCATTAGAAAAATTTTCGGGTCAGTCACCTATGGATATCTCAAAATAGTACAAAACGGGACCCTTTGGGTCTGCAGTGGGACGAATCCCTGCGGGGGACGTCCGCCAATGCCCATCCCCCCTAAATCCGCTGGTGACTTAAACCAACATTATAACAGCTCGATGCAGCACTCGATGCAATAGCCAGTTAACAATGATACTTGATTTTAAAAATGTTTGGGTTACTCTAAACTTCTGGCTGATGGGTAAGGAGCTGCTATAGTGATTAGCTTAAACCACTTTAGCGCGAGATCCAAGAAGCAATAGTATTGAGCTGTATCTTTTTTGAACATTGACTTAAAATAGTATGCTAATTGGTTTTCTAGCAAACTACATAAAATGGAATGTTAGAATTAATGATTTCTTTTAGCGAAGTTTGAAAGCATAGCTTTTGAAAATACCATAACATCAACTCAAAGCCTTGCCTATCCCGCATTCTTCAACGCGAACTAGAGATCTACACTTTGATACCTGTGCTGTCTGCATGCCATTCCGAAGATGCTGAAAGCATTCGATATCCAGAAGATGAGTGACTCCCATTCGGCACTATGAGGTTCTACCTGGAACTGGTCTCTGCTTTCGGATGAGGAACACTCTTGAGATAAAAAGCACTATACAGCTTAGAAAAGTTGTTGAAAGCTATTTTTAGAAAATTGTTAAAAAACCCAACGTTTTTGCATGAAATTCCAGATTATTTTGAGCTAGTTTGAGTGATCTTCAAAGTGAAATTCAGCGTCCCACCTCAGGATTGCGACACCATCATCACATATATGAAAATCTTCAACCTCACTTCTATAATATTACATTCGCGTGGATTATAAAACCTGAGTAGAGCCTTATGAATACACAAAAAGATTAAGAACCCAAGTAAAATTAAGCATAAACTTCGCAATTTGAAGTAGACAAACAAAGTTAATTAGACGATAGTAATAAAAAAAATTATCAGCGAGACTTTTTCAAAATAGGGGAATATTTGTAAACAATATCAATTATTGTTGAGTTTATTGCACTGTTATTGAAATACGTTTTTTTCAGTTTTTGGTTGTGGTTATTATATATTTCTCTTGTCTTTACTTTACCGTCTCAACTTTCAATTTTCTCGCTTTCTCGGCTATAAATTGGCTGTGATTACTTAAGTTTGTATGCATAGCGGTTGAAAATGCCATGCCACCAACTCAAAGCATTACCTATCTCGTGTTCACTGGAACCCCTATATACGAATTATAATCAACTAAAGCAATGTTTGGTTGAAATACTCCAGCACCTACATTAGATCGAACTTTTTGAACTTCGAAGTAATAGCATTTTGGCAGTGAACCTAACAAATCTTTTTTGCACGGCTCCTCAAAATCATAAACAAAATCTTCTGCTGACAAAAAAGCAGCTCGACAAAGCCGTGCTTAACCAAGATGAAAAAAAAACACGACAGATTGTCTGCCAAAATGCTAGACTCATTTCTGCCAAATTCGTTTAGATTTGCTGACTTGATAGCATATTCCCAACCATTTGGAATAGTCAACAGATCTGTCCTATTTTTTCGTCTTGGTTAAGCACGGATTTGTCTATCTGCTTTTTTGTCAACAGAAGAGTTTGTCTTGTTTATTCATCTGTCGTGTTTTTTCATCTTCAAAAAAAAAAGATTTGCTTGAGCTGCTTTTTTGTCAAAAGAAGAATTTGTCAGCAAAGTAATATGGCAGAAATTAATCAACAAACCTTTTTGTACGATTTTGCAAAATCATAAGCAAATTCTTCTATTGAAAAAAAAGCAGCTCAACAAATCCGTGCTTAACCAAGATGAAAAAACAGGACAGATTTGTTGGCAATTCCAAATTGTTGGCAATATGCTTTTAAGTCAGCAAAACTAAACGAATTTGGCAAAAATGAATCTAGCATTTTAGCGGAAAAAAAGCAGCTAGACAAATCCGTGCTCAACCAAGATGAAAAAAATAGGTCAGAATTGTTGGATATTCCAATTAGTTGGCGATATGGTTTTAAGTTAGCAAATCTAAGTGAAGTTAATTAACCCAAATTGGCTCATTTTGACCCTTGAAATTTTTGAAATTAATTTATCGCTCATTTGACCACGTTAAAAACCATCCGAAAAAGACTAATCTACCTTAAACAACCGTTTTTTGACCAGTAAGCTGCTCAAGGTTACCGATTCTTCACAATTGGTGAAAATGCGCAATCCTTTTTACTTGCTCTTTTGACATTTTACAAGCAATTTTTGAAATTCTGTTGTTACTTGTATTTTTAACTACAGTGCTGATGTAAATTATCCGGACAAAATGAACAAAATTTGATTTTTCAAACACTTGGTTTTTCTCAAATTGAGTTAAGATGACGCAAAAAGTGAGGAGAACAAAAGTCGCTTAGAATTTCATCAGAATTGATATGGTGCATTTTTTCTCCGAAATTTTCATTCAAAATTTTACCCTAAAAAAGCGTCACTTTGGCTTTTTTCAATTAATCAAAAATTACGCTGAAACTATTTTGTTAATTGATGAGAAATATATTTCACAAGAAGCCTCTTACACAGACCAACAAAGTGATAGAAGGGTTAAATCTCCAAAAATTGGCGCAAGTTGTTTAAAGTTTGTTTTTAAGCAAAAACTTTATGTTTTTTAAATTAAATTACTGTCTCAAGGTCAGACATAACTGTAATTACTGACTCAAGGTCAGAAAATATTTCAGAAACTTAAGATTCGGCCAAATACCATTCAACCAATTTGAAATTCAGACAATTCAGCCAGAAATATACAGACAATTCAGCCTCAGACAATTCAGCCAGTTTTACAAAACGCTAGATTCGGAAGAAAAAAAATTGGAATTGGAGTTATTTCTCGGTTTAAGGTCGCCGGTGGGCGTGCTACGCGCGCGTCGCCGCTTGGCGGCGATAACCGGCTCTAAATTTTGTATAGAGTCCTACCCTCTGTTGGCAAGCTCACAACACGTTGGCGCGACTGCGGCGATCACTATTATTGGCTGAATTGTCTTTGGCTGAATTGTCTGTATAATTTTGGCTGAATTGTCTGAATTTCAAATCGGCTGAATCGTCTGTGGTCGAATTGTCTGGACGCAGTCAAGGTATGTCGTGAGCTCGAAGTAGCGTTTCGGCTTAGCTCCAATTTAGAATATAGTTTGTTTTCTACGACATTGAAAGAGAATTTCAAACATAATTAAATCCAGTCCTGCCCGCCGTATAAATTTTGTGTGTATCTTGTGCGTTGGTGTGCATCTTGTAAGTTTTAGGCTCATCGAGCCCGTCTTTATTAGTGGTTGCCAATTCTTATGCTCAGTTTTATAGTGTTCATTGCCAGGCTTGTGTAACCTTTTGCAATATCTTGCTGTTAATTTAGTCGCAAAAATTGCTTTTGAATTGCTTTCCCGAAACATGGATGACGGTTTCAATCGTCTGCTTTTTGGAAATCCATTACTAAATAAAATTCAAAGAGCACGAATGATAAAAGCAAACACACATGAAATGAAAGCTTTTTGGTTGCAGAATTATATCGGGTAGTTAAGAGCGCAGTTTCCCAGAAAGGCCGAAATTACTTTTTTTTTTCAGAAACGGCAGTCATTTTAATTGATCAATATGAGATTTTATTTTAATCACTTTTGGTCATGAAAATCGACTTCCATTCATATCATAATGGAACACCATAACATGGCCGTCATGGAAATCGCCATTATTGTTTCCTCCAAAAGTGTCTCATAAAATTGTACTAAAATGCGTTTTTTGTGGGTGGAAAGATCCCTGGGCGTACCCCTTCCCTCTGAATCCCCCCCCCCGATTCGGACCCTGATTCTATTGCTATTTAAGCTACTGTTTTAAAGCATTTGAACGGTCATCATTTTTTTGCAAAGCCAATAGGAATTTTAGTAGTCATATGCAACTAAAAAATGTGGAAGGAAACTCCATTAGTATATAACAGTTATAAAATAGTTTGAAAAATTAATTGAAGTTTCAAAATTTTTTAGTATGATTTCATAATTTATGCGGAAATATACCTGATATGAGCTTTAAAAAATAAGACGAATGCTTTGTCCGGGTACAACTAGACTTTTTTCACTTAAGTTGAAATGTTTCAAACCTCAGTATTTACACTGTAATTGAAGGTCTTAAAAACTAATTGAATTTGTGATCAGACGTCAGAAAATTAACCCGCAATACAAGCAAACTTCATCGGGAAACTGTTGAAAATGCAGATTTGATAATAAATTGAATAACCCAAAACAAAATCCAACTCCGTAATTAAGTCATTCAACTAACAATCAATCTGTTTTAACACTTAGAACATAAGACGTGGTCGCTGGCTGGTAAAAATTAGAATAGCCGAAAGCAGAAGGCCACCAACCATATATACTGAAGTCAAATCAGAACAAATTGAACATAAAAAACCTTCCCTGATACTCATATTGTTTTGATATATACATTGAAACTTTAAACTATAGAACCGTAGCTAAATTGAATTAAAACTATAGAACCAAAGCTAAAAAAAATGAAAACTATAGAACAAAGCTAAATTGAGTGATAGATCCAGTGGCCTAAACTCTCCGCGAGTCCATGAGTTTTTGAGTTTCAATTAGAGCTTACATGCTCTGTTTGTCCATTCCTTGTTTTTCTTCCTCCCCTTTAGTCTTGTCCTCTTAAGTGATAATATCTATCATCACGGACCCCATTTTAGTCACTGCGAAATTCTGCGCGAGCCAGTCTTGCCACCCGGGCTGAGGTGCTCGACTCATGATTCGACCGAAATGGTCGAACGATGTCCGTTTTCGACTTTTTCAGTCGAGCGATGTCCGTTTTCGACTTTACCGGACGTCGTTCGACTTTGTTCGACTTTACCGGACCTTGTTCGACTTTAATTGACTTTATCGGGAATTAGCAGAAGAGTCCTGATCTACAACGAGACTCGGACATCATTTGACTGTTTCTGTCAAATCATCTTTCAAAAACATCAACCTGTGCAGCCACAAACAAAATTTAATAGAAAATGCCGCAAAATTGAGCATCGTAGATTCGTGTAGCCCGAGTTGAGTTGTTGAACTTACGTTTCAATCAAACAGACCAAAAATGGCTATGTTTCGACCGGTTTGTTTAAAAATGGCTATGTTTTGACCGACTGGACCAAATTTTGCTACGTTTTGAAGGACTTGATTCAAAAAATGGCTTCGATTGTGTTTGTTGTAAGCTAACTATGTTGCGACCGACTCGACCCAAGTTGGCTATGTTTCGACCGACTCGACCAAAAGATAAAGTGTTCGACAGAGTTTGAAGCAAGCCAATTAGTTTTGAGCGGAATCAGCCGAATGAAAATTTGATTGACCGCAGCCCATTATATTTTGAATGCCTCCAAAAAATTAGCGGTGTTTCGAACGTCTCAACCAAACGAAAATGTTTTCAACTCGACGCATCTGAGTTTTGAAAAAAAAAATCTTGAAATTCCTGTTAAAAAAACTAATCAGAACTGAAAATAAGGGTAATAGGCCAATGCGGAGACGGTGTGACTTTCCAGACCAAGGCGGCGACGGCGCGACTTTCCTAACACTTATCTCTATAGCTGCTCTTACGACCCATATTGGGATTTGCTC